CCAACCTTTTTGAGGGACTTTTAGTGAGAAATCCTTTGCAAATATCTTTCGCTTCTTTAGAGATGGATTTGGGATAAGAAACGCTGTGTTCAGTGATGGAGGCAAACAATTCCTCCTCGTCCTCGCCATCGAAAGGGGGCTGACCCACAAGCATCTCATACAACAACACACCGTAAGCCCACCTGAAAAAGTGTTGTCAAAATAAAAATCAAATAAAAATCAAATAAAAGCCGACAAATGAAATTCAAAGACGAACCAATCAACAGATTTCCCGTAGGGTTCGTAAGCAATGATTTCGGGAGCGATATAATCAGGAGTTCCGCAGAAGGTTCGGGTGGTTTTGTTGCCAGTGATGCCCTCTTTGCACATTCCGAAGTCAGCAATTTTGATGTGTCCGTCCGCGTCCAGCATTACATTATCCAGCTTTAGGTCCCTATAAATGATGCCTTTTGAGTGCAAATAGAAGAGTCCGATGGCTATCTCTGCGGCATAAAAGCAGGCGACAGGCTCTTTGAATTTGTCGCATCTCTGGATCTGATACATGAGATCTCCGCCATAAANCTCTATAAATGATGCCTTTTGAGTGCAAATAGAAGAGTCCGATGGCTATCTCTGCGGCATAAAAGCAGGCGACAGGCTCTTTGAATTTGTCGCATCTCTGGATCTGATACATGAGATCTCCGCCATAAACGTATTCCATAACAAAGTACAAACGATCTCTGGTTTGAAAACAAGAGTGCAGTTCCACAAGAAATGGTGGTTTATTAATGAGTCCCAACACTCTCTTCTCAATCATTGCGCACTCGATATCATCGTCTTGTAGTATAACATCCTTCTTAAGCACTTTAATGGCAAACAGTTGGTCCGGATGTGTCTTTCTCTCTGCGAGCAATACTTTTCCAAAACTTCCTTTTCCTAAGACTTTGAGAACATTGAAGTCATCGATTCGAACCATTGGTCCCGATTTGGTCCTCAAAGACTGGAATTGCATCGACTTATTCATCGCATTTCCATCAGTAGTGTTGGCCTCCGAAGCCGAACGGGATTTAAAGCCGATTTGCAGTTTCTTCAGGTGCTGTATGATGTCCTGACCCTCTGGTGGCAGCGGAACGTTATAGAACTCACCCTCTTCTGCGCCCAACAGCTTAAACCAACCCTCGACTCCTTCTTTCAATAGTTCTGATACTCCGAAAGATAGGGAACCCATGAAATCATTTCTTGACGTCAAATCCCAGTCCCAGACCTCAATCAGAAGTCTTCTGTCTTTGTCTTCGTTTTTAAGATCAAAAATCAAAGTTTCATTCCATTGGGGGTTAAGACATGCTTTGATTGTCTTGGTTTTCCTCTTATAAGACGATTCCTTATTATCGGGAAATAGTTTTACTTTACAGTAGGGATCACTCAACCCGTTTGGATCCATTTTGCACAGGTTTTTGGCCCCTTTTACTTCGCAAATCAGCCTCACTTTGTTGTGTTCACTATATTGTGAATATATTTTAAGTTCAATTCTTCCCCTCTTTTCGACGGCATCGCATCCGCAAAGATTGGGTACATTTTCTTTGCACTTCTTATGTATATTCATATTACAGGCTTTACATTGCAATCCCTGATGAAATATGCCATATAAAAGAGACCCGCAGTGGTCACAAAATGTGGGCGAAGTATACGTGTGTACACTGAACTGATGTATAGTTCTGGGGTCCGTGTCATTCACTTTGTCAGCTCCGGGACATCGAAAGGCTACAAATTCGTGACATCTTTTGTGGACAACTAGTGAACAGATTTGACATTGAAATCCCTGTTTGCCGACACCCCATATGAAATCCCGACAGTGACTGCAAAACGTGGGCTGTTTTAGGAATCTGGCGATGAATTTGTGCTCTTGGACTACAAATACATTCCTCTTCTTGAGGGCACCCTTTCGTCCGCCGATTAATTTATTGAAGAACTCGTCCTCTCGGTCTTCACTACTTTTGTCACTCATTTTCTATATTCTCTAAATTACTGACATTTAAAACAATTTTTAGTTTCTTAGTATTCGTTCACATTTTCTAATGTTTAAGAAATATGAGTCAAATTATAGATCGTATGATAAAAACAAGTGGTGCTCCATATATTCAGTATCAATATTTCAATATAAAATTACATATAATGTCAGAAAGTATGAAACAAATAAAACAATTCAGACGTCTCTACAGAGATAACATATTCCTCGATGTAATAATATTTTTATTAATTTTTTCTATTATATTATAGAAATGTAGGCAATTATATAAAAAATTTAAAATATGCTTGCAGATTTGCACAAGTTTTTAAAACCTTTGAACAGTAAACCTTTTTTATTTTAAATGTTTGTTATTTATTAAATGAGAATATTTTAGTACTTTAATAATTTATAGAATTATTATTTCAATAATAATAAGAATATACAACAATTGAGAAAATAATAATAATATAACTTATATTGTTATTATATAATATAAGTATCGACCACTTTAAAGTCAATACCCTATATTATTATTCTGGCATATTCTTACAAATTCAGTACTATTATAATCAAAGAATTGTGTAGTGTTCATATAGCAAATTTACAACTTATGAGTTAGAAAAGACTAATTAGAAAAAACCTTATTATCCTTATCATCGCATAATTCTGTTGTGAATATACCGTTTTGGTGAATTCCTTATTGCCAATACATAATATGCAAAATAAATGGTTTTCCAATGTAGATGTATTTTACTATTTTATACATGTTAAATCAATATATAATTGTTTCAAAGGAAGTCGATTCATTACAAGTATTGAACTTATAGGAAAAATAATATATTTACTGTAAGTTTACTTAGTAATCACTCAAAATTTGTTAAGTATGTTAAAGTATAACAAATACTTAGATAAAATACAATTATTATTTCAAAGTTTAGACAATATAATAGGGAAACTCTTATTATACAGATTATAAATTGAAAAGATTATAGATTTTATATTATATAAATAGCAATAAAAATTTTAATTAAAAAAATGTATATTTTCATCTTTTATAGCAAACAAGACTAAATAATATGACGAAAAAATTGTAAATATATGAAATATAGTTAAATTCAGAAATAAAGTCTAAAGAAATAAAGATAAAATTGTATAAAATATCAACACAAACCTGTAAACTTTAAACTAATATTGAGAATTGATAAATTTTGTTAATTATCAACAAACTGAATCATGTGATAACACAAGAATTGTGTCGACAATTATCGTCAAGATTTAACAAACAGTGAAGTAATGTTTGAAAGCATTGTGAAGAATGTGTGCATAACTTATCAAGCACTCAAATAGTCTAACTTATAATTGTTAAACTCATAAAAGGGTGTAAACGATTGCAATATAAATTTAATCAACAGAACCTTGAATTAAATGAATATAAGTAAAGTATTGTGCACAATACTGTAAATTACTGTAGAAAGCACTATAATATTGATATACTTATACAATATTAATATTAACATTGATTTATAAAATGAAAAGAAACAAATACTTAAATTGATTAATTTAATTAAGTAAGTTCTTTTAGTACATTCATACTCTTGGATATTTTTTAAGATTCAAAGAATTAACAAACAATTGCAAACATATTATACTTAAGATCTGCCTACAATTCTTAATATTATTAATAAAATAATAAAATATGTCATTTAATGACATAAAATAATACATTAGTACTAAGTTATAGCAGGATTTAAAACCCTATAAATAAACTTACAACGAGAATATGATTTTTGTCATTAAATTGGGAGCAGTTTTTCAAAATAAAGTTATTCTTATTCATTTATTATTATTAAACTATTAAATTGTTATATATTTATATATTTTTATAAATCTATTTGAAAATTTGTAACAAAATATTTTAAAGTTTAATATATTATTTTCAATGAATTGTACTAGTTTCTGTAAATGTCATCAACTTATTGATATGTGGATGCTATTAATACAACAACAAGTTAATTTACTGGAAAATATTACTAATTATGTATGCATTTATAACACAAATAACCAAAATACAGTCTATCGTATTTCCTAATTTGTTTACTGACTTGTTGCATGTCAATCAATATATCATATAATATAAATTTAGTATTTTTATTGTTGCTTTTCTAAAGTAATTTTTTCATAATATTTAAATTACCATTAATAATATAGAAAAGTCTGAGTTATATTTGATTAAAACAAACATATAAAACATACTTACTTTTAATTATGTACCAGAATTATTGTCATATAAAATATTATTAGTACGATAAGTGACCAATATTAATTGCTATTCACTGCACAATATTAAGCCACAAATACACAAACAATTTGTTCATTTGTATTATGTATAAAATACAATTAAAAAATCCAATTTAACAATAATTAAAATTATATTTAATTGTAAAGTAATTAATGATTAAGTTTATAAATTTAAGTATTTATTTTTAGTATCATGAAAATGTATGAATAAAATGAATAGACTACTGTACTGTATATGATATGATATAATAACGTAAATATCAAATTGACAACCAATGCATGTGTTGTCAAACCTGTATGGGTTGGTCTAGTGCTGGTTGGGAAGGCACTTGTCTACCAGCGCTCAACACAAATATTCATTTCTATAACATATACGGTAATTGTACAAGTATCTAATATTACTTCAGTATTACCATTTATTGATGCAAAAACGCATACATTCAATTGGTATTATATCTGGGTGTCACAACCATTATTTTGATATCAGTCCAATTGACATTTTCTTACAATCACTATAACGTAATCATTTAATTTCACTTTTATTCACTAAAAGTTACATTCACTAATGAGTAAATACAGTATCAGTTATTATTGTACAGTATATCTACTGTATTCTATAACATAGAATCTATACTCCAATAATCTCTCTCTCACTCACTTACTCATTCACGTACCTCACTATATGACCCTGGCATATTTATCTGACTCATTGTCAGAATATTCTTTAAATTGTCATAAATATTAAGAAATAATAGACAACATGAAAATTATGTTTTTGTTTTATTATTAAATTATTTACAAACATATCATACAGTATAGCAAAAGGAAAGCATAGTTACTGTAATAATTAGCATAACTTAAAGTGGTTTTGTTACAGCAGTTGTATTGATAAATAAGTGAACCACTAGTGAGTGGTAATTAGAGCCCAACTGAGGACAAAATAAAACAAAGCGATGGGATATACCGCCAAAAGTCTCTTCTCTTTGCAAATATATTTAGCTATAATTCTTTGGGAACAGATGGTCGGCCATAAGAAGCCTAATATGACTCCAATTATGAGTTTCTCATAAAATAAGTCTTTGATTTGAGTGGCCATCACAATGGAGATGACTTTGAGGACAATAATGCCAAGACATGGTGGCGACAGACAGTACCCAAAGACACACAACAACTGGAATGT